TACCTCCTCATTTATTCCATTTGCGTTAGCATCTCTACACTGGAGAGCAAGTTTCATTGTCTCTTCTGACATCCATTTTGATCTTTTCCTTCTTTCTTGTCTTCTTAATGACTTTGCTTTTTTCCTGTATGATGTTTTTGATGTCATCCCACAACTCTTCTGGTGTTTGGTCTTTAGTGTTTAATGTATCAAATTTGTTCTTCAGATGAGCTCTAAATTCAGGTGAGATATAGTGAAGGCCATATTTTGCCTCTTGTAGACTTGTTTTCATTTTCTTCAGCTTCAGTTTGAATTTACATATGAGCAATTGATGGTCTGTTTTAACAATCTGTCCCTGGCCTTGTTTTGACTGATGATATAGAACTTTTCCATCATTTCTTTCTGCAGATGTAGTCAATTTGATTTCTGTGTATTCTATCTGGTGAGGCCCATGTTTATAATCATCACTTATGCTGTCTAAAGAAGGTATTTGAAATGAAGAAATCATTGATTTTACAGAATTCTATCATGCAATCTCTAGAATCTTTTCTATCACCAAGGCCATATTTTCCAACTACTAATCCTTCTTCCTTTTTGTTCCCAACCTTTGCATTGCAAACAACAGTAATGATCAATACATCTTGATTGTATGTTTGATCAATTTCAGATTGAAGAAGTTGGTAGAATACTCCTGTTTCATCCTCATGGGGTTTAGTGGTTGGTGCGTAAATTTGAATAATAATGGTATTAACTGGTCTTTCCTGTTGTTGTTTGGTATGGACTCATAGAGACCTTATGCACAGCAGAACGAAGCACTGCATGGATATTATCCTATCATAGACAGTGTTTTGCCTGATGACTGATCTGGCTATGTTCTTTTTGACGATGAATGCAACACCATTCCTCTTCAATTTGTCACTCGCAGCATATTGCACCATGTGGTTGTCAGATTCAAAATGGCCAATACCAGTCCATTTCAGCTCACTCATGCCTAAGATATGCATGTTTATGCGTTCCATTTCATTTTTTACAATTTCCAATTTTCCTGGATTCATATTTTGTACATTCCATGTTCCGATTATTAATGGATATTTACAGCTGTTTCTCTTCATTTTGAGTTGTGTTCCATCAGCAAATGAAGGTCCCGTGGCTTTTAGTCCCACGGGCATTACTCCATTTGCATCATCACAGTCAACTCTACTTTGAGGAGGCAGCTCTTCCCCAGTCGCATTTTGAGTGCCTTCCAATCTGAGGGCCTCATTTTCTGGCCCTATATCTGTCAGTGTTTCTCTGCTGTTTATAAGGTTTTCAGTGACTAAATGTTCAGAAGTAGTTCTTCAGTCCTTCTTCCTAATCTGTCTTCGTCTGGTAGCTCATCTGAAAACTGTCCACCATGGGTGATCCTGCTGGTATTTAAATTACCCATGGCATAGCTTCCAGAATCACAGCAACTCACAAGCCACCATAGTACAACAAACTGACAGACGAATGGTGGAAGAGCTACATTAGGAACAGTGAATAAATGTGTTCATTTAGCAGAGATAGGATTTGAACTGCTGACCTTGTGGTCAGCAGTCTGGTGCTTACTATACATCACCACACCAAAACTAAAGGGAAGAAGGAAGAAAATGATAAATTTCCTTATAATTTTAAGAAGATGAT